CAGTTGTTCAATAACTAAAACCTTCTGATATGATCAGCTTTAAGGTTGTAAGGCAAAATCCAGAATTGAACATTTTCAGTAGCTTTACTAGTAGGTTTACTATTTGAAGTATTGAACAAGCTTTGGAAAAATTTAAACGGAAAAAAATGTCAGTAATTCATCTATCCTGCATATTTAGTTAGTGAACAAACCCCTGTATTGAAAGAAAAACCCTCCCTGTTCATTGGTTCCAACCGCCAAATACCTTTCCTGATTTCGAAGACAAAAAAATGTTGAAAGGAAGGCATTGTGATCACACTGATAGTATGAGTAATATTGTAGTTATGAAGACTATTCATTTTATTACTGGGGTTCAACAATTGTAGGTATTCTAGTATATTATTTCATACAGTTCATACGACTATACAACCTATTGATGAATTTCACCCAACTACAGTTTTCTTGATCGACAATTATATTACTAATTCTAAGTAAGAAAAGTTATAATAGGATTATTACCTTGCACTTGGTTTGATCACAGCGAGAGAGCAGAAGTACTAAGTTGTTTTAAGAGAGTACAAATTACATTTAAATTTTAATTACCTTTCAGATTTTGTGTTCAAAGGAAGGTGTAGGAAGGTAAAGTATGTAGCTTCTCAATATTGCACACATGTTGCATTAGTTGAACAAGAACATTATAGTGAAATTAGTACTTAGTATACAGGGTGTCCTGTATACTAAGACCTGTATACTTATATATAAGAACCGACACAGGGCAGGTGCATGTAGGGGTGTCCAAAATATTATTTATATATAAAGTTGCACCCCTGAGGAGTTATTAGCCCTCAAAGTGGGGCCTTAAATTTTACATGATTTAAGTTTATTACTGGACTTCTTTGACTATGATTTAGAGTTAATTGAAGCAGTTACAAGGTGTTAAGGTGTTCATTGGGGATGACTCACCCCTAAAATTGTACCGAACTTTTTTTTCATTGACCCAATTGAAAAATAATATTAATTCACAGCAGTATTTAATTTTCAAAATTTTTTTACTCTTGTAGAATTTTAAAAATCTTTATGGTTTTCAAGAAAAAACTGTAACAAGATTTTAACAGTGCTTATTAGAAAATAATCGAAAAGTCAGTAGTAGGCAATGAATTTATCTTTCAAAGTTGTCAGTTAGTAATAAAATTATTTTATTTCAACAACTGCCTCTGATTGTTGTTGAAAAAATATCAATTATTATTTTTATTATTTATTTGTGTCTTTTACTTAATACAATATTCGCTTATTTAAAAACTACCTAGGTACTTGTTTTCTTTTTGTAGAATTAGGAGAGAAGTGAAGTAAAATTTATTTGGCCAATCAGTCAAAAGTTATACAAATATTAATCCATATTTTTTAAAAATATTTTGTACCTATGTTATTTCGGAATACCTTCCTTTTACAAATTAAATAAAAAATCCTAACGTAAAACCTCAAACAAAATAACGAATGCATTGATTAATTTGTATTACACAGATAAGAAAAATAAATAATAAAAACCGGTTATTATCGTCATTTGTACATGCTAACTCGATTGTACAACTGTAAATTCGCTTTTATCTTGCATGGCAAGGACCTGTAAATGGTAATTATTATATTGATATTGCAGCGAGCTGATATAGCTGTGTAGCCCTGATTTTTTTATAATTATTGTAAGACCTCAACCACTGACCTTTTGACCTTAATCATGTGTGGTTACTTAACACCAGTAATTGAACAGGAAACTGCGATTACTTGAATTTTAAAAGGATACGCGTCTTTAAGTAACGTAGTGTTATACGAAGTGTTTCAGAAGAACGTACCACAAATCTTTGGGGTAATGGAATATTAGGAAATATGACGATTTCTTTATTTTCAAGTTATATGACGCTAAGTTAATACCTAAAATAGCTTGGATTAGTTGTTAAATCAGTTATACAGGGCATCTGTTATATTGCAATCTTGAAATATTTTATTTAAGTTTTTTTCTTGGATTACTTTTATTTTTCAAAATGGAAAAGGCACGATAAAATAGCTAATTTTTTTCATTGATATAAAAATTTTTATGTCTTCGGGGTGTTTCTAAAGTTTGTATATAGGAAAACTCAGTTTAAGTGAGAAGTTTCCTGTAAATATGAATCAAAAAACGTTTTGTAAAAACAGGGTAATAAAGGTGGTCTGTCAAAAGCACATTTTTTTAATAACACCAAAATACTTATCCAGATACATATAAAAGTTGTGAAGGTAAATGAATTTCTTGATATAAATATTTCGATGATACAAGTTTCGAAAATCAAGTGTTCTCAAATTTTATTGACATTTTATAGCAGTTAAAAAAATAATAAGAATATTTGTGTAAAACCTATTCTTTTCCAGATATGAATGACGTTAAAGGATTCCACCGCCAATTCTTATTCTTAACATATTTTCTTATTTTAATTGGTATGGTGATTCGGAATTTCTTATCAGAAGAATAATAAAAACGTTCATTTCATCAATTAAAATATTTTTTTTTAGAAAAATGTATTATTTACCAAAAAAGTCATGGACATTTTAGATAAAATACACTCATTATACTATCCATAGATTAGTAACGTTCATTTCCTCTTTGCCAGTAGGTATAATGCCTTATATTAGCAGGTATTGAGTAGTAGAGACATTTAGGATGTACATATTTTGTAGGTTATATCTCACTCACACTAAAAAACTCACTTATATTCTTCATTTAAGTCACTCAAATGAGGAAAAGGATGATGTTTTTGTAACATTGTATCTAAAGATATGCTCTTTTTTGGATGTTAATATTCGTTCGGTACAAAAAGTGTTCTTGCAATTCATATTTATCTTCCTGAAAGTTTTTTCAGACATCCGTTTGTTAAAAATGTTTCCTACATCCTGTTTACATACAGTAACGATAAGTTTAATGAATTCTATTCCATATTTTCACTTTTCTAGGATCATTTAAGAACTTGAAACAATAACATAAAACAGCAACGAATTTTCCACAAAATTCACCGACAACGTTTGACGGCATATTCACTACGACAAATAAATACGATCTACGAAAAAAAGTTAAATAAAACATTTTTGGTTTTTGAGTTACACGCCTTCAAAGTTGTCAAAAATAAAACTAATTTAATTAATAATTTCATAACCCTTTTACTGATCGCGTCAAAATTTGGCACATTTATTTGGACCATTATTGCGTATTATTTCTTAAAGCTTTAGACAAATCGATGTACTGGGTGATAGTTTTTTCTGGTTACCTCTCCCTTTTAGCGGTCAAAACTTTTACAGTGGTCGTATTTTTTTAAAGTGGGCAGCAACATTGAAAAGGTCATTTTATTAAAAAAAATATATTGTCTATTGAGAAAATCGCCTACAGAAAGCCATTCTTGAGAAAAATGGCATTATTTGCAGGTGTACGTTTCGGTTTAAAACTTTGAGTTCAGTAGGCGATGAAAACAAGATGTTGATTGTTGTGGCTATTAGGTAATGTGATTATCCTCGTGTTTCTTTAGTATTCTCATTATCCACACATGCAAATTATGAGAATTTACAACTCCGTTTAATTGTCTTGATACACTGTGGACACTTCATAATTTGCATGTGTAGAGTGATGAGAATCCTGAAGAAACACGATACACGAACACGATAACTTTGTTAATTTAACAGATTCTGTAGGTATCTCTAAAAGTAAAATGCGATAATAGAAAATGGTTATATATTCAGGGTGATTCATTAACAATGGGAAAGTAGAAAGTTGAAGATACTACACGTGAAATGGTGACTATTGGCGCAAACATGCCTTATCCGAAAGTTAATAGTTTCGGAAATACAGGGCTTTGAAAGTTAAAATTTTAAATCATTTTTTTGCGATTATTCTGAAAATATGTAGGTTAGGAACTTGAAAATTTGTGAAACTATATTTTTTTAGGCGACGAATAAGAAGCGTGTTGTAATTTCAGCATTGCTCATAGAGGGCGCCACTTACGACCAATTTTACCGAAAATTTAGTTAATAACTTTTTACCCTGTATATTTAACATCAAACTTGATTTAAAACCTGAAAGAGCAATCATTTTTCCAATAATTATGTACTCTTGTTTCATTTCGGTATCTCGATCCGTTTTCGAGAAAGATCGATTTAACTTACACTATGTTTTGATAATATGAGAAATTAAAAGCGAAACATACCAAGTGTTTCTTCGTGTTATTACAACAATTCACAATAAAACAAATAAAATACGTAATTATGATTTAAAGTAATTGTTCTGAGAGATCTTCGAGTTTGAAACAACATATTGGGATTGCGTCTGACTTCGTTGGCAGCGATTTGTATACTTTGCCACAACTCTTCACACGAGCCAACAGATTCTTTGTAAACTATATCTTTCATTCGAGATCAAATAGAAAAATCAAGAGGATTGAAGTCCGGACTTCTGGATTCAAAATTTTAATTTTCAACACCTTGTATTTCCGAAACTATCAACTTTCGGATAAGGCATGTTTGCGCCAATGGTCACCATTTCACGTGTAGTATCTTCATCTTTCGATTTTCCTATTGTTAATGAATCACCCTGTATATTCCTACTTAAGTTAAAAGTCTCAGCTTAAAGTCGTAATATAAGGGTAGAATTAAAAAATACATTAAAAAAATGTAGGAGCTAGCAATCCTAAAAAGAAACAAATTGTGATCTAAAATATTCCAGGAATGAAATATAACAAACGCCCTGTATAATATATTTAAAAACTAATCATACCAGGATATTTAGGTTCTCTCAAAAAATTTACTTAACCTGTTTGATTCAACCTTCTGAATGATGGAAAAGGATTTTTGAATTTGAGCGAGATATGATCTGGCATTATAGACGGATATAATTATTATATAGATATGTAATTATGTATCATTTTCAGGATGCTTCGAGGAATATGACGCAATAGAAAGTTCAGAGAAGATATCGCTTAGAATTAATTGAAAACGTCAAACAACCTTACCTTGCAAGACCATTCCTTGTTCTATGCACTTCTTGAAGCGGCAGTACTGGCACCGGTTCCTCTGCGCCTTGGTGATCTCACAGTTCCCGTCCGCCACGCACGTGTACACCCTCCTGTTCTGAACGGTCCGCTTGAAGAACCCCTTGCAGCCCTCGCAGGTGATGATGCCGTAGTGCAAGCCGGTGGCCTTGTCCTCGCAGATCATACAAATCATGGGCTGTTCCTCTTCCTCCGTTGGCTCATGTTGTTCGCCCCCCATCGCCTCGCTAAGGCCCATGATCTTCATTTCCGCCGCCTGGCTGCCGTAGGTGTGCTGAAGTCCCGGCGTGGCCGAGGTGAGGTTAAGAGCCTGCGTCTGCTGAGTCACTGGTACTTGACGAAGGTCGCCTGCCCACAACTGTTCCATATTTAGAGGGGCGCTGGCGAAATGGCCGGAAGTGGGGGATTGCGGCGCCACCACCGGTCTGCTCACGGGAAGCCTTAACCTGTCTTGGCCCAGGTTCAGGAGCATCTGAGCGGCGCTTTCTTCGGTATTGCTAACGTTGGGGCTACCGCCAGTCCAGTTGGAAGTCGTCGGATGCATTCCTTGAGGTTCGCATATGGGAGACGTCGGGGTGGAGCATAGAGCTGGTTGCGACCAAATCATCGTTCTAACTCCTCCAGCTTCGCCCATGATGACGGTTGGCGTTTGTCTGACGGGTATACTGGTGGCGGATCTGGGCATCGGACTGAGAGGAGGCTTAATGTCTCCGAAGTGGACATTTGGGGAAGTGGTAAAGCTGCCGCCGATCAGTTCCGGCTTGACGCCGTTGATCCTCGAATGTTTCAGCCACAGCTGCTGACTTTGCGAAAGGGTAGGTTGCTGGCTGATGATGACCCCTCTCGGTTTGGATGTCAAGATCGAAGGCATGGTCGAGGTCGGTTCTTGACAGGTAACTATGGTTGGCGGGAAGTTTCTGGGAGGGCTGGCGGTGGGTTGAAGCAGCAAGGGCGTGTGTCTGATGACGGGGCTGGCCCGAGGGCTGATGTTGGCGGGTCTACCTGGGGAACTGTGCGGCCTCGGCGGCTGCGAGGGACTGAAGGTCGGTGCCGGCCGGATCGGAGGACTGTGGGACCGTTGCGGGGGCAGAGCCCTGATGACGCTCGCCGTGCCGCCTCCATCGAATACTCCGGAGTCTTCCAGTCGGCTGGAGATTTTGTCCAGCGTCGGTTCGGGCGGGTCGGGCGGTTGAACTTGGAGCGGCGTGGAATCGGGGCTGGGCGGGTTGACGGCGGCGTCTGACATTTTGGGGGATGCCGGGCCGACGAGATCTGGTGACGATGTACTAGTATCGGCGACAGATTCGCCTAGAAGCGGACAGAGACATTGCCTAAAAGCAAATTTTGCTGATGGCTGCCTACTCTAATTTTACTTAAGCACAAAATAATTTACAGGTAGAGGTTTCAAGGCTCATAGTTTAAAAAATAAAGTCACTATATTTTCCAGTACAACTCATCAATAATGTCGTTTTTATTAACTTACAGAACAGTAAAAAGTTAATTACGTAACCGTAAACCACAAGAATAATATATAGGGGAGAGTCAGATTGTACCCGACATATTTAAGAAAAATTATCACATTAAGAAGTTCATACTTAACGATAAGAAATATTGCTGAACATAATTTTTACTAACAATAACATCCGTACCATTACAAATTTATTGTCACTCTAAATATACAGGGTGTGCTATTTAACACTTCCGCTGCCAATATCTCCGAAATGAAGAAATTTATTTTAGTTTCGGAAATTGGGGTTGTTAGGTCCCTCGAATAGCTTCAAGTTGTAGTTAGAATTGTTAGTATAAATCTTTCTGTATAGATGGCGTGGCGATACTAAAAAATTTCTTGTTCCCTGTTCCATCCAAAAGATCGTTAAATTTTGAGTAATTTTTGTAATATAAAGTTTTTCCCTATATTTACTTGTTTTCGAGATATATCGACTTCAATATGCAATGTATGATATAACAGGAAAATCAATTTTTTTATTTAAATCACACTGAGACAAAATATTCTTTTAAAATACTGTTATAATGGCTTTATTCACATCACATAAACTAACAAACAATAAGTTATAAAAAAACGAATGTTCAACTACAGAAAAAAAATGTACAATGGTAAATTTTATAAGGGGCAGAGACGAACCGCATTTTATCAAATGTTATTAAAAAATGCAGTTATAGGTGTCTCATATCATTTGTTTAAAATAAAACAATGAAAGATGACACATATTAGTTTTCCAATAATTACAGTTTTATCAGTTTGCCTCTTTCAATTTAACTATACTAATCATACGATTTACCATTGTACAATTTTTTTTCTGTAGTTGATCATTTGTTTTTTTATAATTTATTGTTTGTTGGTTAGTATGTGGTGTGAATAAAGTCATTATAACAATATTTTAAAAAAATATTTTGTCTCGGTGTGATTTAGATAAAATAATAGATTTTCCTGTTATTTATATCATAAATTGCATATTGAAGTCGACATATCCCGAAAACAAGTAAATATAGGGAAAAATTTTATATCCCAAAAATTTTTCAAAATTTAACGATCTTTCAGATGGACTGCATTTCCACGTTCCAGGGATCAACAATTTTTTTAGTATCGCCACGCCATCTATACAGAAAGATTCGAACTAACAGTTCTAACTACAATTTGAAGCTATTCGAGGGACCTAACAACCCCAGTTTCCGGAACTAAAATAAATTTCTTCATTTCGGAGACATTGGCAGCGGGAATGTTAAATGGCACACCCTGTATATGTCTAGGGAAGTTACATGATGTGTTTTCTGGCAAAATACTGACCCCATTTATCTAATCATTTACGGATTGGACACTGCCCGACAACTTTTACTTCCTACCCGTCTCTCTCCTAAATATTATTAAAACTAAGTTTAGAATTTCATTACAATTTTAAATCACGTTTAACATTCTAAAAATAGACGTATCGGTTTATTTGCTTTCTTAAAAAGTTTACGGTTACTACATCGTGGAATAAAAAATAGATGTTGATATAGCTTTTCCATTTTTATCGTAATCTTCTACGAGCCCTGAAATTACAAACACATTCATTTTTGTTGTGCCTAAATTTTGAAATGATATGAATTGCTAAAGTTTGGTGTGACTAAGCTATTGAAAAAAAAATCAATGTGTCGATCGAAAGAAGCTCTTCCCTTACCGTCACTGCTGCAGCGCGAATCGACTTTCCTCCTTTTCAGCTTCAGATCTTGAAAAAGGCTCATCTTGTCGAGCTCACACGGGGTACGCGTTAGGGTCATAATTCCTAAAAAGAAAGAAGCTAAATTATTTATAGCAAACACAACATTCTTCTTAAATTGTAGAATAGAATATAGGTAGTTTGAATAAATATTACAGATTTTTAAACTACAATACCTTGAAACGTATGAAAACAAATATAAACTATTTTACTTTTTACGTATAACGTAACTGATTATTATTTAGGTGAGCAGACGGTAAATAAACACACACCGTGATAAGGTTGCACTTATTGGAAGTTGATTACATATTAGAGAATAAAATGGATTAAAATTATCAGGAACATAATTTTTCCATCTCCATGTCATTATCTCTCAAATATTGAAAGCGAAAAATTGTAGAATACATAAATGATAGAGAAAATAAATGGAAGAAATGGAAACGAAATATTTAATCTGCTAGGGATTAGTGAGTTTATACATAACTAATCTTTCAATAAAGCATTTGTAAAAGAAATGTTTAAAAACTATCGGGTGTCCCAAAATTCACGCAAGATTTGAATTTTGCGCCATTTGTGGGTAAAGTGTTGCCGACGAAAAAAAGACAGTTCAGTTCAGGGCTATTTAAATAACGCGTTTTCACCGTTGAGCAATATTTTAAAAATAATGAGCTGAAATAGTGATTTAACTTTATCAACTGTGAAGAGATTAATTGAAAAATTCAGGGAGACTGGATCAGTTACTGATCTTAAACACTCTGGTCGTCCTTCAATAGGTCGTTCAACACAAAACATCAAAGCAGTTTGTGAGAGTGTTGCTGAGAGTACAGGAACATTAATTCGGTACCAGGGTCAAAAATTGGACATTTCGAGAAGCTCTGTACAGCCGATTGTCAAGAACTGAAGCCTACTGACCACGTAGAGCGAAGAGAGTTCGTTGAATGGATTATGGAACAACAACAAATGGATGCTGATTTTTCGAACAAAATCATCTTGTCGCATTTGGTGTTCAGGAAGATTTACGAGTGTTGAGAAAGAAATGCATCCAAACGTGTCACTGTTTGTGCTGTGCGGTGGTGGTCTGGAGGCATCATCTTCGAAAATGGGGCTAATCAGGCATTAACAGTTCGCTTGCTATTGCCACGTTATAATCCAGTTTTTTGTGCCTAAATTACAAGATATGGATGTAGTTTCAACAAGACGGTGCCACATGCCGTACAGCCTGAGAAACAATTCTATTACTGCATGAGACATTTCCTGGTCGTGTAATTTCCCGTTTTGGTGATCAGAATTGGGTGCCCAGATCATGCGATTTAACGCCGTTTGACTTTTTTCTTTGGGGTTTTTTGACGTCTAAGGTTTATGCCAACAAGTCGCGACCAACAATGCCTTGAAGGAGGAAATTGAGCGCTATATCAACGAAATTCAGCCGCATGTATGCAAAACGATAATGGAAAATTTCGACAAATACATTCCATACATAACCCTATACTGTGTACTTTATGGATCAATAAAAAAATAATTTTAATTAAAAATTTGAGTGAATTTTGGGACACCTTTTATTATACAGGGTGTTAATGAATAGGTGTTACGAACGGATATGGTATGTAAAAAATCCAAAAATGAGTGCAGTTTACTTAATAAACATATGTCCTAAAGCGGCTCATTTTCGAGATACAGGGCGTTGAAATTTAAAAATAATAAACTATTTTTTCCTGTAGCTCCGGTATTAGTTAATATTTCTTTATCTAACTCAACAGACAGATTTACTAGCTTAAAGGATGTATAAATATGGCAGAAACCATTTATTGGCTTCTTCTATTGGCGTGCGATAGGTGTCGTTTCACATTTTATCCCCCTAAATTGTGCGGCACTGTACAAATATTAGTTTTTCGTATGTTTTTAAATTTGCTAGTATTTTTTACGTAAATAATGTATACCTGTTAGACTTCCATAAAATGAGTAATTATCAAGTTATTAACATTTACATTACTGAGGTCACCTTATGCTCCAAAAACCAAAAATTTTTAAAAAGTGACATGTTGAGTAAATTTTTCACGAAATTGTTTAGTAAATGCATACATGTGTCGCTTTTTCTTTTTGAGATACAAAACATTCAAGGTTTCCGTATTCCTCAAGCAAGTTTAAAATGTTGGAAAAAAAACATTTGCCGTTGACATTACTTGTATTTTAATGTCAAATTATTTTCGATTGTGAAACGAGGCAGTTTTTAATTATTATTGTTATTTTAGTGTAAAGTTTAGTTTGTAAGTTTTAATTATTAGATAGATATCTTTATCCATTCGTTTAAAACATTCATACATCATGAATGAATATACTTCTGCTGATTATGCAAACATGATATTAATGTACGGTCAAGCGCGTTGTAATGGCAGGGCTGCCCGTCGGTTATACTCAATCCGATTTCCAAATCGTCCAACCCCTTCACATAAGATATTTGGAAGAGTGTTTCGCAGGTTGCAGGAAACAGGAACTTTTACAACAAATAGGGTTAACTGCGGGGTAAGGAGAAACCGCAGAACGATAAGGTTCGAAGAAGAAGTTCTTAATAGGATAGAAGAAAACCAATCCACCAGCAGTCGAAGTATTGCTCAGAATATGCATGTAAACCATGTAAGCGTTTGGCAAGTTTTACGCGAGCAACAGCTTCACGCTTATCATATACAAAAGGTTCAAGCTTTAACTCCCGCCGACTTTCAGCCACGACTAAACTTTTGCCATTGGTTTCTTCAACAGTGTCAGTTGCAAGCAAATTTTCCGCGGTTTGTGCTTTTTACAGACGAAGCATCCTTCACACGAGAAGGGATCTTTAATTCTCGCAACAACCATGTCTGGGCTGAAGAAAACCCTCACACCATTCGCTCCACTAGATTTCAGCAGAAGTTTGGCGTCAATGTCTGGGCTGGTATAATTGACGGGCGCTTAATTGGTCCGCACCTTCTTCCAAATCGTCTTACAGGTCCTATTTATTTAACGTTCCTACAACAAGTACTTCCAGAATTATTAGAAAATGTGCCATTGAACATTCGACAGGAAATGTGGCTGCAGCATGATGGTGCGCCAGCGCACTTTTCGCTTGTTGTCCGAGATCACCTTAATCAACAATTCGGTGTAAGATGGATTGGCCGTGGAGGACCTATGGCGTGGCCACCACGTTCCCCAGACATGACCCCGCTTGACTTTTATTTGTGGGGCCATATGAAGAGTCTAGTTTATGAAACTCCTGTTGAGTCAGAAGAAGATTTGGTAGCACGCATTCTAGCTGCAGCGCAGGAGATCGAAACGACGCCTGGCACTTTTGACCGAATGTACACAAATATGCTTCGAAGAATTAACGCTTGTATCGCTACTGGTGGCCGTAATTTTGAGCATTTACTGTAATTTTTTTGTGCAAAATAAAAATACCTTTTAAACAACTTTAACTTTTTGTATCTCGAAAACTAGCATAGCATAGAAAAACATAGTTTTTGGAGCATAAGGTGACCTCAGTAATGTAAATGTTAATAACTTGATAATACTCATTTTATGGAAGTCTAACAAGTATACATTATTTACGTAAAAAATACTAGCAAATTCAAAAACATACGAAAAACTAATATTTGTACAGTGCCGCACAATTTAGGGGGGATAAAAGGTGAAACGACACCTATCGCACGCCACTAGAAGAAGCCAATAAATGGTTTCTGCCATATTTATGCATCCTTTAAGCTAGTAAATCTGTCTGTTGAGTTTGATAAAGAAATATTAACTAATACCGGAGCTACAGGAAAAAATAGTTTATTATTTTTAAATTTCAACGCCCTGTATCTCGAAAATGAGCCGCTTTAGGACATATGTTTATTAAGTAAACTGCACTTATTTTTGGATTTTTTACATACCATATCGGTTTGTAACACCTATTCATTAACACCCTGTATATTACATACAATTTGGCGATAATGATTATTATTTTTAATTAATTTTTAACTGCTTAACTTCGGAACACCTTGTATTTCTGAGGATCTAAAAATACTTTCACATAATACTTATTAACATCCAATAAACAATTTTAATTTTAGGAACATATTTTAGACAGAAGATTTCATAATTTCAGCAGACGTAGCCGCTGCACCGCAAGCAAACAGTTCTTGTTTACATGCTGTTGTACGTTGGTGACACAACAATTATATCATGAGATAATTGCGCATAGATTATTATACACATATATTACACACAAACTATAAAAATGAAAATGTGCGCACCGTCGTGAAAACATTTAATTGGCTTAACGTCGATAAAATGATAATACGTTTGAAACAAAGTTTAGCAGTGTTAAATTGGAATTCAATATATGTTAATTACTATATTAACTATCGCAACCTACAGCACCTGTTGTATTAGTAATGTAAAAAGTTATTTTAAGAGTAACTTCAGTATGACATTACCACAATTAATAAGCTAACAGTTTCCAGTGCACATAACAAATATTTGGTATTCGAAAGCAGGTTCCTTTTTAAGGTTGAATATCGAAATTATCGAAAAATGATATCACGACTAATTCGATTCCTTATCCATGACATACACATATTTTTTATGTGAATAAATCATTGTATCACGTTACCTAGAGGCGAATAACTGTAAATTTTTCAATATGAGCTTTCTATACAGGAAAACTTATTTACTTCCGTCCTCCGCTCGCAAATACGATTAGCGAGGAAGGTGAGGTTATTGCTGTCATAAATATATACCTTGTTAGTTGCTTCAATTCCTCTTTAAATAGTACATTGTGCGAGGAGACAAGGAAATGTGTTTTTAATTAATATTCATATAAAAAAATAGTAATTCACTTTAATTGACGAATATAGTTGTGATATATGGAAGGAGGTAGTTTGTATCTACGTATTTCATTAGAGCTATACATATACGGGGTTCTCTCGTTACTAATATTAAGTTCATTTCTACACAAATAAGAAATATGCAATTAAGTTTTAGAAATTTTTCTGTAGAAACCAAAAAATTTATAAAGATTTTTTCCGTTTATTTTGGTAATTTGCCATTTGTGAAAAA